CGGGGGCCCGGCGAAGTAGAGGCTGCGCCGGAGGGAAGGGAGCGGGACGCCCCGGCACCGAGCTCTGCAGGGAGGGACGACCCTGAAAAGCCAGCGCTGCTCTGGTCGGAGGGGACAGGGGGAGCACCGGGGGGGTCCATCCACGCTCCCACAAGCTGCAAGGGACAGTACCTGGGAGCTGGGAGCCGTCCCACTGCCCGCTTCAGGTTTGGGACATCGACCTTTTGACCGGACTCCGACACCCGTCCGAGCCCGATGAGGAGCTGGGGTCACACATGAACCTATGCAGACCAGGAAGAAATACCTTTTCCTGACTTTCCTTGCCTCTTGGCTCCTGCTTTTCTTCTTCTTCGGAGACCAGCTGCGCCGTTTCGCCCTCTTTCCTGGCAGGAAAGGGGAAGCCCGGGGGAACTGGCCCCGCTGGATTGATCGGTCCCTCCTCAAAAGCTTTGCAGACCCCCAGGAGCTGCAGAGCCATGGGGACCCCTCCCCGCCATCGCCCCGGGAGCGGCGGGCGGCCCGGCTGAGCGTCTACAAGAGCAGCAGATGCCGGATGGAAACCTGCTTTGACTTCTCCAGGTGTGAGCAGAATGGCTTCAAAGTCTTCGCCTACCCCCGGGAGAGGGACGAGCCCCTCTCAGAGAGTTATGACAAAATCCTCACCTCCATCGAACGCTCTCGCTACTACACCCCGGACCCCCAGGAAGCCTGCCTCTTCATCCTCAGCATCGACACGCTGGACCGTGACCACCTCTCTGGTCAATACGTCCGTCACGTTGATGAGAAAATCCGTAGTTTCCCACTCTGGAACGGTGGTCGGAATCACCTCATCTTCAACCTCTACTCAGGGACTTGGCCCAATTACACCGAGGATCTGGGCTTTGACATTGGCCAGGCCATCCTGGCCAAAGCCAGCTTCTACACGGAGAACTTCAGGCCTGGCTTTGATGTCTCCATCCCTCTCTTCTCCAAGGACCACCCGCAGCGCGGTGGGGAGAGGGGGTGGCTGTATCAGGACTCCATCCCCCCAAAAAAGAAATATTTGTTGGTGTTCAAGGGGAAGAGGTACCTGACGGGCATCGGCTCCGGCACCAGGAACGCCCTGCACCACATCCACAACGGGAAGGACATCATCTCCCTCACCACCTGCAAGCACGGCAAGGACTGGGAGAAGCACAAGGACACGCGCTGCGACAAGGATAACGTCGACTACGAAAAGTGAGTCGGAGATGAGTTGGGAAAAGGGGGTCTGGGAGGGCACCCCACAAACATCCCTGTCCCTTTTGGGGGGGCAGCCATGCCCGTCCGGTGGCTGGAGCTGCGGATGTGGGGAGAGGGGGAAGTTCTGGGTTCTCCAGAAGTTGGTGAGGGTTTTGTTTCCGTGGTGGGGAGTGAGGAGCTGATTGTTGAGGGCTTTTCTGCTCTGTGTTAAAGTTGGAGTAATCTGGTGAGAACAGCTCTGAGCTACAATTGCTGCAGCTGCCTCTAATACCGTTGCC